CACACAGCTTGGAATATCAGAAGAATTGGAACTGTATGAGTGCGTCAACCTTTCCTGTTACATCTTCCTTACCACAAAGTCATCTAATTGGCAAACCCTGAACTTTATAACATAAACAACCCCTAACTGGTAAATTACCGGAAATTGTTAACCTCATTACTGCCATTGATGAGACCTCCGTTCCAGTTGACAGCAGTCTAAATGTTAGTTTAGCGTGGAGGGTTAATGGTGGCTGGGTGTATCGTCACTATGAATGTTGCTAAAAATATCACAATTTGGCAGGGGCTGGATTTGTACCATTAACTGGACCACATAAGCTGTATCATTTTGTTTCTTACGCACATTTATCTTATATCCCTTAATTTTTGCACCATGCAATCTGCAGCAGTATTTTCACACACTAACTACATTATCGTGGCTTCACGCCAATTATTAGATTACTACAGTTCTTGGACGCATAAAAAAAGACAAGGTGATGACACGAAGAAGACACGCACAAAACAGAAAGCAGATAGGGAAAATGTACGTCAAGAAGACACGAACAAGACAAGACAAGAAGAAAAGACAAAAAATAAAGAATAAGACAGGAACAAGGCACGACAAAGAGACTGGAATAAGATAAGACAAGACAAAAAAGACACACACAAAACACACATCCCAAGCAAAAGAATACGACAACACAAGAAGAAGACATAAGGAAGAGAAGACAAGGGGAAAAAATATTCAAAAAATAAAAAAGACAAGAAGAAGACAAGGCAATCAGAACAGACAAGACTAAGACAAGCAGGAAGAAAACAACAAAAAAGACAAGAAGTAGACAAGATAAAACCAAGACAACCCGACGACAGAATGCAGCAGCAGCATTTCAAATAAAAGAAGCGAGCAAGAGACATTAAGAAATAATGGCAAACTTCTTTTTCGACGAATCCTCAGTTTAGCGAGGACAGAAAGCAAGAAGCAACCTTTGTTTCACCAAAACGGCGGCACCCTGTGGCCATACATCAGCCGTGCTGTATTTTACTCAGCCATTCACCCGGCGCTATCAGGAAAAAGATCCCGGAATACATCCACATTTTAAGCTCTAGAGCTTCATAGGCTTATTTTGAAAAGAAAAAAAAATTCATTTCAAGATGCTAGTTTTTCGTCTGTTTTCTTCTTATTCTTCTCCCAGTAGTCTACGACCATTCCATAAATTTTACGCTATGGGAGGGTTGTGTATGTTTTACAGCCTGACCTAAACACGCCGTGACCCAGACCTTTTGACCTTACATTCTGGGGTAATGTATAGTATTAATCTAGTTTTGGGTAACTGACAGAGAAATTATCTCATGCCACTTTCATATCGCACAGTGAGGTCTTTGTTCGTTACATGCCCCACATGCCCTTGTAAATGTCTCCAAACATTTTGGCCTGCTGTGAAGAAAGTTTGGCTGAGTAGTTATAAACAGAAGGAAAATTGCGCAGTTACAGGTGAATGGAAATGCCTGTGAACGTGTGCGTGCGTATGTGTGTGCATATGTGCGTGTTTGTGTGTGTGTGTATGTATGCGCATGCGTGTGTGTGTGTGTGTGTGTGTGTGTGTGTGTGTGTGTGTGTGTGTGTTAGAGAATAATGCAAACTGAGATTGGAGAAAACAAACATGTATGTAGAGTGTGGTTTCTGAGAGACAAATGTAAGACTAGGCACGGTTATTTAAACCAGAATGGGCATTTAAGCTAGAGGTGTCGAGTGTAGCAATGTTTGGTGAGCCTGGTTGGTAAAGGAAGAGACAGAAAAATAGAAATGGAGCGCAGAACACTGATAAAAAAAATTGCATTAACGACGAAATTTCAAAGCTCCTGCGATGACCCTTCCTTTGTAAGGTGAACGAATAATAATAATAATAATAATAATAATAATAATAATAATAATAATAATAATAAAAGAAGAAGAAGAAGAAGAAGAAGAAGAAGAAGAAGAAGAAGAAGAAGAAGAAGAAGAAGAAGAAGAAGAAGAAGAAGAAGAAGAAGAAGAAGAAGAAGAAGAAGAAGAAGAAGAAGACGAGGATGAGGAGGAAGAGGAGAAGAAAGATGAAAAAGAAGAAGAAGTAGTAATAGAAGAAGAAGAAGAAGAAGAGAAGAAAAAGAAGAAGTGCTCCTCCCATGCTGGCACTTTATAAATGATGTAATTAACATAACATCGGCCATCTTTACCGGAAATAGCCTGGTATCCATTTTAGGTGGGATTACCTTACTGTTTCTGTTTCATTAACGAACGAACAAACAAACACATATCCCTCCTGTTGAGAAATTCCCACATATTACCACCGGACCGACAGGGAACAATCTAGCCACATAATTATCACTTTATATATTTCATGCCAAGATGTATACTGAAGATGTTGCGCTAAACTTATATTTTCAAGTAATTAACCCTCTATAGAGAACGAGATTAACATCGCATCGGTTGCCTTTACTTCCCATTAAAAAAATCCGGCTTTCTCTTTAGATTGAGGCGCCTTCAGAGCCCAGATCATTTAAAGAATAACAATAATATCGTATTGACAGAGATTGGAACACATAACAACTGCTCCTGGATCAAATGTACTAGCAACTGCTAACTGCAGAGCTCTGACAGCAGTACAAGATAACAACAGCTTTGGAAGGTCCCCACGTGGGTCCTGGGACTGCTTGTTGGGAGGAAAAAGAATTAACCCACTGCCTCCCTAACAAGCATAATAAGCCTAACTGGTGTGTTTTCTTCAAAGCTGGATGGAGTTCGTCTGACCAAAAGGCAAGGAACCAGCAGTCTGCGTAAAGAAAAAAAAAGCCAGATCTATGCACGAAAAACTCAACATCAGATCACCACCAAAGTCCTGGAGTCGGCTAACACTCAGAACTTTCTGCTGGAGTTTACAACCGGTGAACGCTAAGAAAAAGAAGAACTGTGAAAACAGTACTCATCTTTCTTGTCTGTTTTTACCAGTTATTTGGGTGACATAGAAGGGGGAGAATGGTACACATTCTTAGAATACAGTTGAGGGAAAAAAAAACACAGACATCTTACGTGTTCTGGGCATAGAGAAGAACTGGCTCATAAACAGCATCCTGCCCCGCAAGCTGAGAGATTTGGCCAAGTTAGACGTCACGGTGGCCAGGAGATAACGGTGATGGGGGGTACAGTTTCCCGAAAGCGAGGCAGAGGCTGAGCTCCGCAAACCTGGATATATGACAGTGAAGATGCGTTGCCTATGAAAGCACATGGGGCTGGAAATGTGCCTAGAGACAGAAAGACTTTCAGGCACGCCCTGACAACAGCATTTTTCTGTATAGGACCTGATGACTGATTATGAGAGAAGACACTCTTGAGAGAGGATTTATGGCTTCATAGAAAGTAAGGTCGTCATGCACTGTGTATGTTAGTACTGTGCATATGGTCAACATAACGCCCGCCGCTTTACTTCCCATAACTTTACCTCGTACCCATTTAAAGCTGGGTCAACCTGGGAGTTAAGGTCATGTTTGAAAGACAGTCCATCTCCACAATGCAGGTTACGAAAATTTTTGTGCTCCTGGTAGAGAATATAATCTCTAGCACCCTACCCAGGATTCAATCCTGGGACTCTGGAATGGCAACACAGCACTCTAGATTCCTAGCCAGCCGCTCCTCGATAACACAGAATTTATTATATACAGTTTTATTCTTCAATGTGCACCATGTGCATAAACATTAGAAACAATCTTGTGCAAATCTTTTTTTTTTCTTCAGATTTCTAAACTAGCTGGCCCATCTATTTGTGCACCAGCAGCGACTTAAATAGAAAGAGAAGATACAAACGGTGCTTTGTTTATAGCTGTTGACATCTCTCTACGTCTGTTTGATGAACAGCATGGGAAAGTTCCAGATTCTATCTGTGTAAATGCGCACGTAGAGTGTTCTTTATGTCGTGTCATTGAAGGCAGATTGGGTGTTATGTTGAATGTCTGCTCAAAAATACATTTCCATTGCGTGGGGTGGTGAAAGTTCACAGGGAGACATAACCATCCTTATTTCAGTTTGTAGTCTTGTATAAGTAGACGACATGAGAAGCCGACTGGGTGCATTGTTAACTCTTTTGGTACCAAAGTACTCCTCCGAATCTTTAAATGAATACCTTAAGTTTTATCAAGCTTGTACATCAACAGTTGTAGATTTGTTCTTTGAATTTGTATCCTCTTTGATTTTAACCAGTCTACCTGCAAGGCTACAGCTCGTTTTTTTTTTTTTTTTTTTGTAAGTTCGGTTCTTTATCCGTCGACCTATGCAACTTTTTTTTTTTTTAATTTTAAATATCCAGAAACCATGAGTTGAAAACCCTTTGGCTCAGTACTATATATATATAGCAACCCTTCCACCTTGATTCCATGAAAGATACCGTCAATCTGGGAGAAATGTGGCTTTTCTGACAAATCCCAGTTGTGAAACCAGACCACAAGGAGTTCGTCACCCGGTCGCTGCGTTGAGAGTTTTAACCAACTGAGCTAACTGGCCGGAAGACCTTTTTAGTGGTTGCGCCCGCAGCCATGCAGTCCTTTGGCCATTGAGACACTCGAACTCCATTAGCAACGCTTTTCCAGAACTTAACAGTTGTGAGAACATGACTAATCGACTTCAAACGCTATTGGCAATATAGTTTTGATAGAGTCTCTTTGCGACTATCAGATAAATGGGTGCTTTAATAATATCGTAACCCTAACAAGGACAATGTATAGGTCACGGGACAGGCTTATTTTTCAGGGGATGGTAGAACGGGGGCATGCCCTCGTGGGACATAGGCTGCACTCTCTCGTGGGAACGTAGGTGGGTTGGAGTTAAGGCCACTTCTAGATGTTTTGGTGTCGGTAAAATCATCAGAAAGCCGGGAAACCCAGACTTACCACCCTCTTAAATGTTGGACTGTCCTGTGAGGTCATCTGGGGTAGGATATTAATAAAGCACCGATAAATGTTATCGTTCACAACTATGAACCCAGGAGTTCCTACCTGATATAAGGAAAATCCGGCTCCACATGACCATGTGCCACAGCGATTCCATATCTGTAGATAGACAAACACATGTACGCTTGTTAAATTAATGACTCCTAGTGGAGGGAAAGTGAGAATTCATGTTTACAATTTACACAGTTAGCAAAGCTGCATTTCGGATACATCCATACTTGTTCACACTCCCTCAGCGTTGACCAGCACATGTGTAGTAGTATATTTTTTTCAACTATTTCTACCCAGCTGAAATTATGTGTAAGTGTAAACAAAATAGTTATGTTGCTTTTGTTGTTGTTACTCATATTAGTCAAAAGATGAATTGCGAAGCGTTGTAAAAGGGCCCTTTACTGCATCTTTAGGTGTATTGTGCATACAGGGCTAAATCTATGTTTTGTAGACCAATCAACTCTCGGTGGATGATGTAGTCAACACAGTGCCGACCACCTTTTCTTTCCAGGACTTTACTTTGTACCCATTCAAGGTTGGGTCGACCTGGGAGCCAAGAATATTAAAAGAAATAAAAAATGAAGCTCAGTTCGGATTTGAATCCACGCAACTTTGGACCCGCTGGTGAGCATCTAGCCGCTACACCACGACTGCTCCCAGGAACACTGTGACAACTGGGAGATATCACCGGCTGAAGATTCAATGGAAACCAGGAACAATGAGGCCGCAGTTCTAAAGCGGCGGCATGGGTTATCTACAAGCATTGATCTGAAACATGCCTCTTCTTTTTTTTTTTTTGTCGTTCTCCCTTTTCAGATGAGAAGGCTGTATGTCTCTGTGATGGCTGTTGGTCGACGCTGTGTCCTCCACTGATCCTTCAGCTTGATTTCCACCAGAATGCCAACTGGCGTGTCAACAGTATGTCTGCAGCACACGTTTAGTGTTGTGTAGTGACTGTTCACACCGGCAAATCTGAGTTCATAGTTTATAATTGCCTACACATATTGCTGTGCGGTCTGTTGTGTCTAGCTCACAATCTTAATATTCAAAGGATGTTGCTTTCGTCGATCCTGATTGGGTGTTCGGGAGCTGACATCTCTGGGGGGGGGGGGGGATGTTAAAGTCTACGCCAGCAGAAGATACTTCTTACGCTAGATTCGATTAGATTCAAATTCGACTAACTAAATTCGAATTCTCAACTCTAATAAGAGCAGTCATCTCAAGAAAATAAAAGTCTACTTATATTCGCTTTTCAAATACCCCATACTGGCTTTGCGTTTAACACCTATGTTCACGTCTAGGCCAGTTTGTGTTCACATTCATAGCTGCAACAACAGCCAGATGTGAATGTATAGTGTGTTGCGAGCTGCTTTATTACTGAACAGGGTTTCAGCTATAAGTTTACTCTCTCTCTCCCCTCTCTCTCTCTCCCCCTCCCTCTCCCCTATTTTTTCCCTCCGCTTTCATGTTGTTTCTAAAACGAGCAACCCGGTTCTTATGCTTTTATGTGTGTGTGTTTTCAGGTAAGATACTAAATTACAAGAGGTTAAGTCAATTTCCTATTTATCGAGGAGATTGGTTTCCAATTTATCTGAGCTCCCGATTTGCTTAACCTAGCATTTGTATCATGCACGTTCTGAGAAAAGTCGGCTGGTGCGCTGACGATCACGTTCTCACTTCAAGTTCTTCTGATTTGTTTAATAAAAATACACGCAAAACAAAAATGTAGCAAATATCATGAAAGAGGTAATGCAGACTAAGCACAATCTACAGACTTCATATTTTCTGTAAATACTCAAAGTATCCTTTTGAAACAAGCAAATTTAAAATTGTTTAACCATTAACTCTTTGAGTCCCAGGGGGTTTAGCATCACAGGCCCAGTGGGTAGTAAAGAAAGTAATACAATCGGCGCATCATGCGTTCATTGGGCTTCTAGGTAGGAACCTATGAACGTATGATACGTTCCTTGGGACTCAAAGAGTTAAAATCGAAACATCTTATCATCATCAGCTGCCTTGTCGACTGGTGTGGGTTTCACGCCTCTCCACAATCCGCGATCTCCTGCAGCATGTATTAGTTCGTGTGCTGACACACCTCCATGCCATGCAACAAGACTGTCAAGAATCTTCTCTCGTTGTCTTCCTCTATCCCTCCTTCCACAGATCTTTCCAGTGGTCACAACATGTTCCATTTCCCCTCGTCTCATAACATGGCCGAAAAATGATGACTCCTTCTAAAGTCTGTGATAAATTGTCTTCAGGCTCCCACCTCTTTCAAAACCTCTTGGTAGCTCTTTTTGGCTGTCCTACATTGGACATTTTAAGCATTCTTCTATAAAACCACTTCTCTGAGGCCTCAAGAAAATGTTTGGTCTGCCTAGAAATTGTCTAGGACTCACAACCATATGTCAAAGCTGGATGTATTTTGTATGAAAACGAAACATACACACATAAAATAAACTCATACGACGAATAAGCAATCCTAATAAACAATGTTTTTGTTTTGTTTCGCTGATCAACATCCCCGGCTGCTTCCAATTTTAGTATTTTCGTTTCCTAAAAATGTCGCTTATCGCTACGCGTGGTTGAGTTCACGGCAGTCTTCAGCTTTATATCACGTTGGTCTCGGGTTGTGTTATTTCATTCCTGTAACTAAGCATTAATGTTACGTTGCTGGCTGTTTTTTAGTTGGACCGAATCGCTTTCTTATGGCTGTATGTATCGTTTTTTAAGCGAAGCGTCTCCCTCATATTGCGTATTCCTATTTTCAGTAGCTTTCGACTGTTAGTATCATCTCTATCCGAAAAGCGTTGAGGGCTATAATGTAATGTTTATCCGATAAGTATTTGTTGCTACAGTCCTTTATTTGTCCGATAAATATTGAGTACTTCAACTTCATGCTTGTCGTCATATCATTTACATTTTTTTTCAGAATATTTTTCATATTGTTAGTTTACACTGCTACAGTCCAATGTGTATCCGACAGATGCTGACCTTAGCATGAGATAATTACTTCATCACCATCGTCATCATCATCATCATTAACAACAACATCATTATAGTCTTCTAGTGTGTCGTTTATACATTACCCAGGACTCGCAGTGTATCTCACATCCCTTTGTATACATTGCAATCTTTTCAATATTGTGTATAGAACCCAGTTCAGAACCTCTGGCTTCTTACAACAACAGACTCGACAGGTTTTTCCTTTAACAACGTACTTTTTCGCAATCCACTTGTTTCCCATTTCAATTATGAGATCATATCTTCAGCTGATTATTTCTCTAGAAGAATCTTTAGACTCATTCAAGTGTTTATACACTGCTGATTTCTGCGAACCAGACACGGATGGAAACAAAACACCGGGTATGCCAGCACAAGTGTTGGAAGTCCTCACTTGGAACTGAAACCTGATAGCTCACGACGGAGTGCGAACGAGAAACCGTGTTACCATCTGCTGCTCTGTTGTATAATTTAATTAAAGGCATCACAGAAACGAAGGGTATGTTCTGCACATTTCTGTAAGAGGTTTGTCTATGGTTTCACGTAGGGCTTCTGTGTATACTTTAGGAAACGTAAACTTCTTGCACAGTTTTTTTTAAAACTATGTGCCGTCTCCACAACGAAAATTGGCTACAGTGTACTATTATTGTCTTTGAGAATATTTAATGACGAGACCCAATCTCTTCCACGGTGCAATTCTCGTATTACTATCCAAAAACCACGAAAATTAATTTACAGTTTTAGCATTTTAAAAGTACAAAGTAAAAGACTCGTTTTATATGTTTTAGGTGCATTGGAAAAATTTGTTATCTCATATTTTTACACATAGATGGGTATTCAGTGTATGGTCTGGTCAAAAACACGTCTTACAGTCTCGGATATTTCATGGTCCCTGCTTTTAGGGTGACAAGGAGAAGTTTAATATTTAATGTTTTTTTTTTTTTAAAGTAAATCGTCTCTGTCACAGAGGGCTAGAAAATTTGTCCACAAAAGTAGTAGTCCACGGTTCGATCCTAGCTGTGTTATCTGCTTGGTCGGAACGTTGACGTATTTAAAGTTTTTTTTTTTTTTTCATATGCCAAGCTTTCCAGCTGTTTTGTTTAGTGTTTAGCATTACACTATAAGCAAATGGTTCGGTCTTTGATGACCCTGCATTGTATGTTCTCCACGCTCACAGCAAGCCGAACAGAAAACTCTGTGCAAGGGACAACGGCACGGGACATTCTGAGCCGGAGATATGAGCTAGCCACAACCCGCGGTTGACCGTGGGCAGTTTGGAACTAGAGCTGAAGACAGTTGTGTTGGTGTGCTGTTGTAATTGAAAATTCGTAACGTCGTGTGGAATATCATTGCGGATGTATTGTGCCAACGAGTAGCGATGTTGACGAAAACTGAAATGTGAGAATCGGGAAGAATAAACTGACCGAATGTGCATTTGAAGACTGACCGCTGTTCGGCGTTATTAACTGAAGAAAGTTTTGTCTGTTCCCTAGAGAGTTAGCATTATTACGAGAGTGAGCCAACCTTTCTTGCGTGGCCAATATGGCTAATTGTAGTCGGGCATAGTTTTGCCTCTGATAATTGTTAGACGTTGCACTTTCATCCGTATGTAGACTGAAATGATATAGTTCCATCGCACAGCTACTAATATCAATGCATAGCGCGACACTGTGAGCTGCGGATTTCATGTGAAATGCTTTTCAACTATGCCTAACTATGTACGCGTGGTGACCTGAAGTTTCAGTAAAATGGCGAGTGTCCTATTGTCACCAACCTGGTGGTGCCTTATTCGATTAATTGCCTGCTCAGCTACTGATTTACTGTCTGCTGCTCTCATCTATGATAAACTGCATTTCTAATGTCGGACTGTGTGTGCTGGCACATCTGACGGCTGGCTCATATATTTAACGCGTGCCTGTGCTATTGACTTAGCTGAGACTGCAGTCTGTGTGGATGTTTTCCCATGGGACAGTGATGATCATTCTAGCAGTTTTCTGTTGGCACCGGAAGTGAGAGACTGTGAGATGACCACCAGAAGGGAGAGACTATGAGGTGACCACTGGAAGGGAGAGACTATGAGGTGACAGGTTCGCTATGAAGTTGGA